CCCCAAAACCCCAAAACCCCTTACAAAACGAAAAATTACCATATTAATTAAATTATAAAAACAAATGATTAATAATAAGGAAGGTGTTACTTTTCTCTATCGAGGGGATAAAGACTAGAGAAACCTTGATATAGTTGACAATATCTATGAGAGAGCAGAATAGCAAGTGGACTCACATTTGAAGCAAACTTAAATCTTAGATAAGTAAGGCAGGAGAATCAAATTGCACCACAAAACAATATTTGAAGAGCTATTACAGTAGTTGGAAGAATGAGTTGTTGAGAAATTCTACCAAAATAAAAAATTTGAGAAATAAAATAAGGTCACCGAGATTATCAATAAATCATTTTAACATGAAGAGGCAAGAGTCAATTACGAGAAGTTAAAGGGCAGATTTAGACTGAGATTAAATCATGATTTGCCTATGAGCAAGAAAATAGAGACCTATGCTAATGAGAAGGTAGCATTTTATTTGCATAAAAACAGAAATTTCATTCATAAAATAGAGAATACTCTCAAAGAAATTGAAAAAGACAAGAAAATTAAAATGGAAAAGGAGATCGACCAGTAGAAAATTGAAGCTATAAAAGATCAATAGAAACAATACTTAACTCTATAGACTATTACAGAATAAAATAAAAAAACCAATAGAATAAAAAGTTGAGAAGATGACAAATAAAATCCAAGAGAAGGAAGTACTCTTATTCAAACTCCTGAAGTGGACGATGAGAGTAAACATCTGATCACAGCTCATAATTTACTTAATATTGAAGACGATGAATCGCTTTAGTTGCAATAAATAAACAGTAGTGCCTGGGAAAGTTCACATAGAGAAAATAATATCACCACTCTCTCAGCAAATACCAGATATCAGCAAAACAGGACTCTCTCTCCCAATAAAAAAATAAATTTAAAAGCTATCAAAGCCAAGCTCTATGACAAGGTCGTTTCCTAAAGAGGGAGTAAATTTAATGATAAGATAAGAAATGATTTCAGAAATAATGTTCTCTTAAACAAATTGATTAGCTCTTCTCAGGAACAATCAATTTTGTCTGGCCAGTTCAGCAGTTCAAAGCCTAAAAATTTAATTAATGAAGTTGATGAAATGAGCAATAATCTTAACTAGACTTTTAACAGCACGAAGCAGTCCTCTGAATTCAAGATTTAATCTTTTTTCCCATAGATTTTGTCAACCAACAGAGCCAGAGAATCAAATAATGTTTCGTTAAGTAATTTAAATTTATCTGCTCAAAGATATTAAGCTTCTGCTGATACATCTAATAATGCTAATTCAGCATCTTCAAGCAAGCATTAAACCATTCAAAGAAATATGGTTTCCTTCAAGAATAAGGATTAGATTCTCATTGACTAAGAAAACGAAAAATAGAAAAGACAGATTAAAGGTAAAATTAAGCATATCATAGAAAGATGCCTTTCGACTAGGAAGTAGGCTTAGTAAAATATTTAGGATTTAGAAGATAACCTTGAAGATCTTAAAGTTAAAGAGCAATCTTTTTCAGATGTTTTCCATATTTTGCGAGAAATTGAAGGCACTGATGCCTCTGTAATTGAAAGTCTATATGTTTATAAGATGAATGGGCAAAAAGATTTTTAAGATGAGGCCAAATAAGTAACAAAAGAATTCAAATTAGGCATGCTAGATCCTATGAGAGAAGTAACTAAATACGAATAGCAAATGAGGTTTAAAAAGAGAAAAGACCTCTTAAAAGGGACAATAAAAATTAAAGCAGGAATATGACTTCAATTTATATCTTAATATCATAAATTTCTCAGTTTGTATTATAAGGAAATCAGGGGTTTTGGGGTTTTGGGGTTTTGGGG